TTCACCGGTGTTCGACCGAACATACGCCAGAAAAAAACGCCGAAACCCTAGATCTCAGGGGGGTACTAATATATTGAATGTAATCTTGGGTCTTGAAACGTTTCCAACAACCTTCATAGTTCCAAGACAATATACAAAATTGAAAAACAAATTTCAGCATCTATATAAAGCTCCCTTCATATCAATATTCACTCACAAGTTCACCATCTCTCCCGTTCGAACAACCTGCAAATTAGAAACAAAGAACCAAAAATCTTGGCAAAGAGTAGAGAATGTTTGGTTATGATTGGCCCTCAGCATACTGACTCGGATTTGGTAATAGCTGTTTATTTTTATCTTCTATTATATTCATGTAATTTCTTTGTTTTTGTTTTTCTTTTTGATTTTATCATGTTTATAGGTAAAATAGAGTGAAATCTATCCAGTTAGTTTACTGCAATGCAGAAACTCTGAATAGATGAAAACGAAGCAGTAACCATGTTGAGTGAATGAGTGAAATCATTCTGCACCTGGTGTTGATCAAGAAAAGGATCCTATTTCAAAATGATAGAAGAATGTGAAGATGATGAATCATACATGGTAATACTAATCCTACCATGTATTAAATTTCGTGTTCATATTTCAAATGTATTATTTCTTATACATTTTTATCTAAAATTTTAAATGAAACAAGTTTTGAAGAAAAACAAATGTACACTGTTAAAAGCAAACAGGATGTACACTGTTAAAAGCAAACTTAGGATTTTGTCCTATTCTGATGCCTAATATGTTTGTTATATGTTCTCTCTAAATGGTTGGCTAGAAGATTGACAGTGTACTTAGGATTGTGTAATTGGGAATGTCAATCATTTATTAGCCTAGAGATAGTTTCAATAGAAAGGGGGAATATATTAATATATTATGTACCTCTGAATTCTAATGGAACTTTAGTTTTGAACTAAAGTCTTCCGTACTTCTTCAACTGTTTAGGGTGTACGAAGTGCCTCAAACAAGGGGAGGGGGGAATACCAGCAAGAGTCTTGAGTGTGTCCTTCATGATGATCAGGTAATGCTATCTTTGTTTTTACTGCACTTTAAAGTAGATTTTCTGCAATTTAAAAACATATATGTTTAGTTTTTAAGAACTGTATCTTTGTTTTTTATGCAAGTTGAGACCTGTAAGATACCTAAGCAAACAAAAAAATTGTTCTGCTGCATTTCCAAAAGGCATAACCACTAATATATTTAGTAAGAACACAAATGTGTAAAGTACATTTACTGCATTTTGCTGCTGCATTTCCTGATCAATCGTCATGAACCTGTAACTTTAAACAGTAAGAGGACCTGTAACTTTAAAGTAGATTTTCTGCACTTTAAAAACATAAATGTAAGGTTTTTAAGACCTGCATCTTTCTTTTTTATGCAAGTTCAGACCTGTAAAATACCTAAGCAAACAAAAAAATGGTTATGCTGCATTTCCAATAGGCAGTAAAGTACATTTACTGTATTTTGCTGCTGCATTTCCTGATCAATCATCATGAACCTATAATTTCTATACAGTAAGAAGACCTGTAACTTTAATGTAGACTTACTGCACTTTAAAAACACATTCAGTAAAGCTGTGTTATTGGAATGCTGTAAACAACTCTCTAAAGTATTTCTTATTGGCAGGTAGACTTTATACATGCCAATATTCAGAAAGAAGATGTGAAATACAGAGATATTTTGAAAGAGGTGAAGCTGTATGAGATCAAGAAAGAAGATGAAGAAGAATATTTGAGTGAAGCGTTTTGTGTCAGATTTAAGCACTGTGACAGTGCTTTTATTTTTAAAACAATGTTCCTAATTAAATTTTGAAGACAATTGTTAGAAATAGAATCAGGATTATCTTATCCTAACTTTTTTGCCTATTTGTTATCTTTTGTATTTGTTCTGCTATTATGTTTAACATGGTTTTCAGGATGCTTCGGTTAATGGACTTTGGGTCAACATTCATCACCAAAATGAGAGCAATCTGGAGATGGAATGCTTTGAAAGCAGAAACATGGAAGAATAGGACTTAGAGTGTAGAAACACTATGTAACTTTTAAAGTTTTTTTTTTTGTTCAACTTATGACTTAGAGCACTTGCAATGTAGTCTTTGTATTGACTATCTTAAAGTTACTACCATGTATTTTTTTTTTTTTTTGCAACTTCTAAGTTAAAATTAGAACACAACTGTTAAATCCATCAAGAAATGTAGACTATTCACAAATAGATATCAAAACACACCAATAATGTGATGTAAAAAGATATCCAAAAAGATATGTTTAAGATAAATACATTATGAAAAATATAGTCAAACAAAGCAAGCATCAAATATATTATATCTGTATCAAGTTGTAAAAAAAAAAAATGGATCAAAACATTCACTTGGTAATAAAACAAAAAAAAAAATTATAGGCATTTAGTTAAAAAAAATAAAAAACTTTAATCAAAGCTGGATTTGCTGTTTTCTCAGTTTTACCATTTCTTTGGTTAAAGCCACTAACAGATCAAGAAGTTTATAACAATACATCATAATAGATGGGATAACTTATAAAACAATTAATGCATCAGATCAGCACAGTTTCAACTTACAAAAAAATCTGATATTCTTAATGCAAATTTAGGTTGGAAAAATTGTGACAGATACTGTATCACTTGATACAATGTGAAAAAAAAACATTATTAAATATAAAAACTATTTTTAAGCATCAAGGTATGAACAATGTTAAATTTAATCAAAACTGAATTTAAAGTTAAAACAATTCTACCATTTGTTTATCAAAACTGGATTTACAGTTAAAATAATTAGAACTACAAACATTTACAGCATACTTCACATATATCAAATTTATTATATCATAGAATACATTGCCAAGGAGAACAAGAGTATGAGGCAAATTAAAAGAAAATGACTAGAAAATGGAATAAACAAATAAAAATATTGTTTTAAAATTGAAGCAGATGGACTGTGCTTTTACTGTTTTATGCCCTAGGGTTTGTATCTAACACAGATCTAAATTTAAACATACATGACATAGAAATGACTACAGAATCTAGATTAACGAAAATAAAAAGGAAATAGTAGTTAAACTTAGCTTTAAGCAGATCCTGGAATTAGGGGTGAGATCGATAAAGAGATAAGTCAACTACTATACTGTAAGGCGATGTTTATAAGATTTTCTGGAGTAAAAAAAAAAAGAAACAAAGATAGCAAAGAGAATACACCTACAGAGAAACCACTGAAAACTTTCATAACAAAGGAAGCACATAACAGAGATTAGTGGTAGCTGTTAACATCCTCGCACAGAAATAAAGATTAAAAATTCTAAGTGTAGCTTGAATGATAGTGCACTGATACTACTGTGATTTTTTTTTTCCAGATGTTTTTAAAAGTCAAACACAAAGGTTTTAGAAATTAAGATTTAGAAATTAAGATGTGAATCACAAATATTAGGAGCAAGATCGCAAAATGAAAAATACTTAGGGTAAAAATCCTACTGTACACATATCATACCCTGCATGTGTGTTGATTAGGCAGATTCATAGTGAAATCAGTGAACTATTAACGATCTAGGAACTTGAGATGCCAAAACATAGAACAAAACTTAAACCTAGAACTTGAAGAAAATAGATCGGAGTATGAAAATAGAAGAAATAAACCTCAAGTAGGTACTTCATCTCAGTCTCCTCTATTACCCACCGTCGGATTTCATCGTGACATACCCGACCGATAAGTAGCAAAGGGAAAACAAAGCAGTATTACCTCAAATATATACCAATCTCAGTTAAGATCGACGTAATTCTGGACTAAACCGAGTATTTAGACACATATCGCTATACTTCTATGGAAGAAGTACATGTTCACGGCTGAGATTGAGCAAAAATCTAGAGAGAGAGAGATGTACGATTGCCGGAAAATTATAGAGAGAGGAAGGAAGGGAGAAATTGTGAGACGTTCTAGAGGGTGCTGTGTTTGTCTTTTTTATTTTTTTTTTATATTATAATTATAATTTATAATTATTATAATATTACAATTATATTATTATATATTGAAGTTTTAATATGTTCGACGGAGTATATTAAAAGATTCGAATTATACTTATTATAATTATATTCTTAATATAGTTATTAGTTGAAGTTGCACATAGATGTAGATAACATCAAAAATTAAATGTTATGTTATAATCTGGTGTTCAACAAAATAACATAAGTAATTTGATTAATATTATTTAAATTATTTTGGTTGCAGAAAATAAAATCGATTTCAGTACCAAGATAAGTAGGGGTTCAACGAGTGATAGTCTATGTGATAATACTTAACGAAATCATGTTTACAGTCAGGGGCGGAGTCAGAATTTGTTGGTGCGAGGGGTGGATCATCGTGGTTGTCGTCGTCAACTGAGGAAACGAAAGAGAAGATTTAGGCATTTAGCTATCATCTAACTACTATAATATTTAAATTTTTTATTGTTGTGAGGACGGATGAATCCATCTCCAATAGAGATTTACATATCATATTTATATTTGAAATTTAATAAGACTAATAATTTTTACTATCACACCATAACAACAATACATAGTGTTGGGGTAGGGTTTTTTTTTTTTTTTTTTTTTTTTTTGCCAATAAAAAGTACACTGCAGGGAGGCAGTTGACTTACTCACAGATGCCAACCAAATTTGTTTGGAAAAATGATAAAAGAGAATGACAACCTAGGCAGAGAAATTGGGCAATTGGTCGAATCTGTTATGTGCCACCAAATACTGGTGAGATTTTTTATCTTAGATGTTTACTTAATATAGTTCGTGGACCGACTTCATTTGATGAGATTAAACAAGTAGATGGTGTTCAATACAATTCATTTAGAGATGCATGTTATGCACGCGGATTAATCGAAGATGATAAAGAGTATGTTGATGCAATCACTGAGGCAGCATTTTGGTCTTTACCCCATTCTCTACGTAAGTTGTTTGTTACACTTCTGACATCCAATTCAATGTCCAAGCCAGAAAATGTTTGGGAGATGGTTTGGCAATACTTATCAAATGATGCTCAATATATTTGTAGAAGGAACCTCTCAGTCTCAGGTAACATTTATTGTTATATTATTAATTATTCATATCCATTCTTTAAAGCATTACATCTTACGGTTTTTTCTTCTTCTATTGTAGATTTAAGTCTAAATGAATCTCAACAAAAAAAATTTGCTTTGATTGAAATGGAGAAGTTGTTGAATGCTTGGAACAAATCTCTATCAGATTATCCACCTATGCCAATGCCAGATGAAAACAACGATTTGTTTTCCGGTAACAGGTTGTTGTTCGAGGAGATGTCATATGATAGGGAAGCTCTATTGCATCAACATAATTCGTTGCATCCGAAACTAACCGATGAACAGTTAGTCATATACAATAAGGTGATGGCAGACGTTGATACAGAGAAAGGTGGAATGTATTTCGTTTATGGTTATGGTGGGACAGGAAAAACATTTTTGTAGAAGACTATTTCAGCAGCTGTACGGTCCAAGGGCGAGATAGTTCTAAATGTAGCATCAAGCGGTATAGCTTCCTTGCTGCTGCCTGGTGGTAGGACTGCACATTCCAGGTTTGCTATACCAATTGCTGTTAATGAGGACTCCACTTGCAACATCAAGCAAGGCAGTGCGCTTGCTGAATTGATAATCAAATGCAAACTCATAATTTGGGATGAAGCTCCGATGATGCACAAACATTGTTTTGAAGCATTGGACCGAACAATGAGAGATTTAATGCGTTTCAAGAACTCAAGGAGCTCATCAATGACATTTGGCGGGAAAACAGTGGTGTTGGGTGGAGACTTTAGACAAATTTTACCCGTTATCCCAAAAGGTACTAGACAAGATATTGTTCAAGCCAGTATTAATTCATCTTACCTGTGGAATAATTGTGAAGTTCTGCGTCTAACCAAGAATTTAAGATTGCAAGGTCTTACTAATGAAGATGATGTTCAAAAGTTAGATAGTTTTGCCAAATGGATTGCGAATTTAGGTGATGGTAATTTTGGTGAAGACAATGGTGTTGATTGCAATATAATGATACCGTCTTCAATTGTATTAGAAAACGAGGTTGATCCTATTAGGCAAATTGTTGAAAGCACATTTCCGGAGTTCCGTACTGGGAACATGGATGAAAGTCAACTAGAGAATAGAGCTATATTAGCTCTAATCTTAGATCTAGTTGATGAGGTCAATGAATACATGAATGGTATTAATCAAGCTGCTTCAATGACATACTTGAGTTGTGATTCTGTTTGCAAGGCAGATTCAAACTTTGATATGCAATCCCAAGTACACACAACAGAATTTTTAAATAGCTTGAGGTGTTCGGGTGTACCAAATCACTCTCTAACGTTGAAAGTTGGAACTCTAGTTATGCTGTTGAGAAATATAGATCACTCTATGGGGTTGTGCAATGGTACAAGGTTAATAGTAACACAGTTGGGAAATCATGTTATCGAGGGAAAAATTATAGCTGGGAATAACGCAGGTACAAAGGTTTTGATACCGAGACTATCTTTGACTCCTTCAGACCCAAGACTTCCATTCAAGTTTCAACGAAAGCAGTTCCCACTGATGTTATCATATGCAATGACGATCAACAAAAGTCAAGGTCAAACGCTTTCACATGTTGGTTTGTTACTGAAAAAACCAGTTTTTAACCATGGACAATTGTATGTTGCAGTTTCTCGGGTCAGTAATCCAGATGGTTTTAAGGTCTTAATATGTGGCGAGTCTAGAGGTCTTTTAAATAAGACTCAAAATGTAGTTTATAAAGAAATCTTTAATAATTTGTAATTGTTGTTTCATTATTTTACAATGAAATATTTTATTTTGTGTATTTGTGACGTCTATAACCTTATTGACCATATAATGAATAAAACAATTTTTTATACATATCGGCATAATAATATAGCCGTGCATCGCACGGGCGCAACTACTAGTTCTAATATTAAAGTCTTAATAGAACTTAACCACAAATCCTAATGTCGGAATCTCCTCAAACAATATTAGTATATATTTAATATTTTATGCCCTAATTTTTATATGTTCTCCCTTATGTCCCTATTTGGTTTCAACCATACCTATACAATTATTTTATTGACAATTATAATCAATATTGACTATATTATCTTGCATTTGTAAACTTAGAATTACCTATTTAACCCGCACGGGCTTAGCTCAATGGTTTAGTGGGTAGTATTTGGGAGAAGAGACCAAGGTTTGAACCTCGGCGGCGGCAATGCGGGAATTATGTCCAAAGTGGGCAGATTCCTTGTGCGTATCAGCATTTGGCCCTGTCTGCTGAACCATTGAGTCACCGTGATTTACAACTTCCCACAATGCTCTGTCGGGTCGGAGTGTGGGGGGCCCTTGGGGTTGGGGACTCAACCTTTGGGAGAAGAATTACCTATTTAAATACGCAAATTCAACCTTCAATTATCTATGCATGAACAATTTCAATATAATCTTGCCTTAATATATTTTAAAGTACTTATTTAAAAAAAAAAAAAAAAAAAAAGCATTGGGCATTATCCCAATCGCGCTATACGCGTAAAAAACTAGTATTCTTAATATATTATAACATATTCATTCCGTGCATCGCACGGGTGCAAATACTAGTATATAAAATAATACAATTTCTCTCTTTCCATTCTTGCGTAGAAAAGTTAAGAATTGAAAAATGGAGAAATGGTTTCCATTTTTAACACATGAAAAACAAGAAACTCAACTTTTATTTGTTCAAAATAATAATCAATTTTCTATTCACTTAGACAAGTCAAAAGTATGAGATTTATAGATTAGTGAATGTCTAGCACATCATGCATATATCACATTATCATGACTTAATTGGTATGTATGTACGTACTTAATTCGAATGTATGTATATATATCTATCTACTATACTAATAAGAGCCCAAGAGAGTTAGGTCTATAATGGGTAGAAAAAATGGCGGTCACAGATTTTAATCAAATTAATGACTCAGATTGATCAGATTTTTATTTTTCCTTAAGATTTCCTAATTTATCCTTAATAAATATGATTATCTGTTAACTTTTTCGTTAAATATTATCTTTTTCGTTAATTTCTGTTAATTCACCGTTAACTTACTCATTGATTTCAATAAGAAAGGTCTTAAGTTTGAAACGCATCCCAATCAAAGTTGACATAATTAGTACTCTATTTTATTCTTATTAAATTAAATAATAATTTAGTAGCTACAACAAAAAATAATACATATGCATTTATTTAATTTAGAATTATGTGTCTACAATGTCTTTATTCAAAAAAAAAAATTCATTATCAATAAATTAAATAAGAGAAATAATTTCATTAGTTATATTCTCTTTATTTTTCTCCAATATAAAAATTCTTTACATTCAAATTCATCAATTGATTATATACACAACATTGTCCCTACAATGTCTTTATTAAAAAAAAATTATTCATTATCAATAAATTAATTAAGAGAAATAATTTTATTAGTTATATTGTCTTTATTTTTCTCCAATGTAAAAATTCTTTACATTCAAATTCATCAATTGATTATATTCACTACATTGTCTATTATCTTTTTTGTGCACTATTTTTTTAATTAAATATCAAAGTTATAATACAAAATAATGCTATATATTTATTACCAAGTATTTTATTAATATCATGAAAAATTAATAAAGTCAGTCATATTAACTACTTGAGAGATTTGTTGACAAAGAGAGTATTCAAATCACACAACAAATTGAACTATTGAAGTGAGAACTATCTCGCAATGTACTTGTTTGACAACCAGCAGTTAGCAGTTAGCGGTTAGCGTTAGCGGATTTGACCAGCGAATTATATCAACGGTTGGTAAAAAGATATTTGAAAAAATTTACGATTTAAATTAACATGTAAAATGACCTAATGATATACATATATTTAATAATAATAATAATAATAATAATAATAATAATAATAATAATAATTGTTTTTTAAAAAATAAAAAATATATAATTAAGCCAATCATATTAACTACTTGAGAGATTTATTGATAAAAAGAGTATTCAAATCACACAACAAATTGAAGTGAGAAACTACCTCGCAATGTCCTTGTTTGGCAATCATCAATTATCTCTTCAATATTAGTATATATTTAATATTTTATGCCCTAATTTTTATTTGCGCTCCCTTATGTCCCTTATTTGGTTTCAACCATGTCCATACCTATACAATTATTTTATTGAAAATTATAATCAATCTTGACTATATTATCTTGCATTTGTAAACTTAGAATTACCTATTATAAATACGCAAATTCAACATTCAATTATCTATGCATGAATCATTCTAATATAATCTTGTATTGATATATACTTTAAAGTACTTATTTAAAAAAATATTGGATATTATCTCAATCGCGCAATGCGCGTAAAACACTAGTGTATATATATATATATATATATATATATATATATATATATATATATATACACACACACACATGCGGCTACTGCTTTTAAAAATTGCGCATAAAACAAAAGATGTTTACTGTTCACTTGCATGCATTGTCTAACTTATTGTCCAAATATATGGAATAAGACAATTCTCAAATTATATTTAATATAATAATAATAATCAATTTTCTATTCACTTGGACAAGTCAAAAGTATCAGAGTATAAATTAGTCGATGTCTAGCACATCATGCATATATCACATTATCATGACTTAATTGGCGCGCGCACACACACACATAAAGAATCAAGTGAAAAAAAGGCCTTAATTAGGGTTTAATCTCATTGGTTCAGTCCAGATCAATGTTTAAAATGAAGTAATTTTTTTTTTTTTTTTAAATATGTGGTGGCATAATTTTGTGTAAGTTAATTTTTATTTTCTTTCAGACCTTTTAATGCACATTGTCCCTTCTTCCAAAACACATTGTTATGCCTTTAACCTTTAGGTTCATAGGTGTTATAATATAGGAATAAGGTTCAAATTGGCCACTGAACGTAACCTGAAAATGCAATTAGGCCATTGAACGAAAAAAAAAAAAAGTGCAATTAGGCCACTGAACACTCCAAAAATGTGCAATTTCACCTGATAGCAGGTTACCCTCAATTTTAGCAAGTTATCTGCTTACGTGGCAGCTGAGTTGGCATTTTTAATAAATTTTAATTAATTTCGAATAAATTTTAATAATAACTTTATATTAAAAAAGTTTTTTAAAAAATAAAAACGACTTTATTTTATTATTTATTTAATTTTTTCTTATTTTTTATAAAATTTATTATTAAAATTAATTATTAAAAATTATTTAAAAATTATTAAAAATGCCAACTAAGCTGACACGTAAGCAGGTAACCTGCTAAAATTGATGGTAACCTGCTATCCGGTAAAATTGCATACGTTTGGTAACCTGCTATCTGGCCTAATTGCACATTTTTTGAGTGTTCAATGACCTAATTACATTTTTTTTTCGTTCAGTGGCCTAATTGCATTTTCAGGTTACGTTCAGTGGCCAATTTGAACCTTATTCATATAATATATATATATATATATATATATATATATATATATATATATATATATATATATATATTATATACACACATGCGGCTACTGCTTTTAAAAATTGCGCATAAAACAAAAGATCTTTACTGTTCACTTGCATGCATTGTCTAAGTGACTAACTTATTGTCCAAATATATGGAATAAGACAATTTTCAAATTTTCTTTAATATAATAAGGGTGAATCAACGATTTGGTCCCTCACTTATTCGCAACTTATCAATGTTGTCCCTGAATCACGTATTCATCAATTTAGTCCCCGAAAATAATTGTTTTTCGTCAAATAAGTCCCTCAGGCCGTTTTCCGTCATGTCTGAGGCGAGACCTCCGATTTGCCCTGGGCATTTTGGTCTTTTCACGCCTTCTTCTTCATTAACTCTGACCAAACTTCGCCGGAGAAGCTCAAGCTCGCCAGAGGGAGCTTCATCTCTTCCGCCGACGTCAGCTTCACCTCCGATTTCAGAGCTTTCCAGAATCGCAAGCAAATCAAAGCAACACTACAACATTTTTACGCCCCGGTCTACTCCAGGGGAAGACAATCAAACAGAGAAAAAGCAACGCAGCAATGGTGTTGATCGAAGCCGTGCCATCCTCTGACGAAACGTCAAAGCCAAAACCGCCACCAGTCAAGGCGGCTGAAGCATCGACAAGCGCTGGTTCGTCCTCTGCGGCTGCGCTGGCGGCATCTGGATATGGTTCCGATGGTTACGAGACTGCTAGCGATACCGAACTTAACGAGACCGATGAAGCAGAAGGGAAGAAAGAGGAACAAAACCTTAGTCACAGTAGTGTAAAGGACGAGAAAGCAAAAGAAGATTATGGGAGCCCTGCCACATCAATACCGTCGTCTTCTTCGGGTGGAAATGAAGAGGCGCCGAAACAGAAAATGGAATCCGACATGGATCAACTTCACGAGGTTCTCTCTCTCTCTCTCTCTCTCTCTCTCTCTCTCAATACATATGACTCCGATGCTAAATTTGTATATGCTTATGTTGCATTCAGTGATTTTGAAAAGAGTAAGCTAAATAAGGGAATAAATATCTTCTACTCTGCTGCTGGAGAATGATGTTTATGCATTGTGATTTCCGGCATTCATTGGAGCTTTGTAATCCAACGATGCATTGGGGGTGCGCCGGCGATCCCCCGGCAGATCGCGGCGACAGGCGGCGGCTAGCTCCGTCTCGATCTCTTCTCTCTCGTTAAAAGCTGATCTGAGCAACAACAACATCCGACGGCGAGACAAGGTCCATGGACCTACATCTCCCCTCCCTCTCTCTGGTGGAATCACGAAGAGGCGGAAGCAGCAGATCGGAGCAGCGACCTCCGCCCCTGGCAGTTGATCCCTCACGGCGAAGCAGCAAACCAGCAACGGAGTTTTCCGGCGAGCTTGAGCTTCTCCGGCGAAGTTTCGTCAGAGTTAATGAAGAAGAAGGCGTGAAAAGACCAAAATGCCCATGGCAAATCGGAGGTCTCGCCTGAGACATGACGGAAAACGGCCTGAGGGATTTATTTGAAGAAAAATAATTATTTTCGGGGACTAAATTGATGAATACGTGATTCAGGGGCAACATTGACAAGTTGCGAATAAGTGAGGGACCAAATCGTTGATTCACCCATATAATAATAATAATAATAATAATCAATTTTCTATTCACTTGGACAAGTCAAAAGTATCAGAGTATAAATTAGTCGATGTCTAGCATATCATGCATATCACATTATCATGACTTAATTGGCGCACACACGTATACACTAATGTGCGCGCGCGTACACACACATAAAAGATCAAGTAAAAAGAAAGCCTTAATTAGGATTTAATCTCATTGATTCAGTTCAGATCAACGTTTACATGAAGCAATTTTAAAAAAAAAATGTGGTGGCATAATTTTGTGAAAGTTAATTTTTTTTTCTTCCAGACCTTCTAATGCACATTGTCCCTTCTTCCAAAACACATTGTTATGCCTTCAACCTTTAGGTTCATAGGTGTTATAATATATATATATATATATATATATATATATATATATATATATATATATATATATATATATTAAAGAATATTTGATCTTGAATGAATCACTAATTATTACTTTTAGTTGAATATTATGATCGTTTATGATTTGTGTTGAAGATCATACATTAAATTTTGTCTTTTCGATAATTATTTCATATTTTCTACCTTACCATGCACATTTTGCCTTTCCAGAGTTTCAGTGCACATTATCCATTCAACCTTTAAGATCGTAGGTGTTATATATATATATATATATATATATATATATATATATATATATATATATATATATATATATATATATATATATATATTTTTAGGATCATATGAGAACACTTGCTTATGTGAGAACGTGAGAACAAATCGTGTGCATCCATCTAATATTTATTAATGGTCTAGATTAGATTAAGTGTGTGCGAACGTGAATTAAATGTGTGCAAACGCGATTAAGTGTTTTCACACACATTTAATTCGTGTTCGCACACACCCAGTCTAATCTAGACCATTAAAAAATATTAAATGGATGCACACGATTTGTTCTCTTGTTCTCACCTAAGCAAGTGTTCTCATTGGAACCCTACTATATATAGGGCAGGATTCCCGTGAGAACATGTGCTTAGGTGAGAACATGAGAACACATCATGTGCATCCATCTAATATTTTTTAATTGTATAGATTAGATTAATTGTGTGCGAACGCGCATTAAATGTGTGCAAACACACTTAATCTAATTCAGACCATTAAAAAATATTAGATGGATGCACACGATTTGTTCTCACGTTCTCACACTACAAGAAAATTGTCCATTAATGAGAGGTAAAACCGTCACTAAAAATCTAAAAACCATCATAAAAGACTTTTAATGACGGGAAATTTACCGTCACCACCCGTCATTATTTCTTCCGTAGATAAAAACAAATAGTGACGGGATATGATACCATCATTAATAAGCAATTTAGTGATAGTGTATTTACCGTCACTAAAACGTTCTTTTTACGACCAAAAATCCTGTCACTAATACAACTACTCACTAGCATAATTTCCTCTCATTATATTCTTATAACGATGGAAAATACCGTCATTAATATTACTATTTACTAACAAATATTATTAGTTTTTAATTTGTATATATTGTTACTTCTCATTAAATATTAATTTTTGTAATACATTTTTTTTCTCACTAATCGATATTATGTTATGTTATAACTATAAATATTATATTGGTACATAATGCAATCAAAGTAAACTCGATCAATATATTAAAAGACTTCATCATTAATACCAAAAAAAATGTTTCATACAACTTTATAAAGACTAAAGACAAAGAAATTAATTATAACAAATAGCCATAGGAATGTATCTGTTGGCTAGCTATTTTGCCAAAAGTCTTTTGCATTTGAACTAATTTTACTCAAGTCATGCAAGATCAGTGGTGAGCTCAAACCCCTGCTTATCATCTCACTTCCAACTTCGGAATCACAAGCCTCTGTCTCTTGACTGTCAATAAAACCCCAAATGTTTTAGTATAATCTTAAAGACATACAATTTCAAGGCTTAGAATTCATCAAATGATCTATCAATATTTGTAACAGAGCAAGGAGAAAGCAGAAGGGTGACATCTACTATGGCATATGATTAAACAAAAATTTTATGTTAAGATTAATAATAATCACATAATGATAATACAGATTGCAATAGAACTATTCTGTGTGTACATCGCCCTATTCTTTTTTATTATTTCAATAGTATAGTGACATTATATACAAATCCCGCGAAACAAAGTCAAATATAAATTGAATGGTCCATGATCTTAGTTCACAAGACAAAGAAAAAGAACCGTTAATATATAACATTGAGCATTAGAATTAAGAATGCTCCTCAATATAACATTGAGCATTAGAAAAAGAAATTGTCCTTCAAGAGCAATGATACCTATATTAAACATAAAGGCCTAAGTCATACCATCAGGTCTCCTCAATATACACTTAAAATTATTCTTGTATAGAATTAAGAATAGAATATAGTATACTGTTATGCTGCACTCAAAATTCTTGAAACTATAGCAATTTAGTGTATGCATGTCTTGGTGAGCAATCTTGAACAACAAAAATCAAAATCTTTATCATCACCACAATCTAATTAAATTTCAAATGTGTATCAATTCATGAGTATAGAACAAAGAGAATGCAATAATTTAATCTAATGCATAGTTTATAATGAAACCACAAAATAAAAAGAAAATATACCTCATCAATCCAGTCCCACCACCGGGAACTCCGTCTCAATCCGGTTCCTAACAACATTATATATCAAAGGCCCATGCCGTTCACCTAAAACGCAAGAAAGGATTAAGCAAACAATTCTTTAACAACTCTTGGCCTCCAGTTTCTGCAATATTTTGCTTTCAAAAAAAATTCTGAAATAATCAAATAACGTTTTGATAACAATGATGACCAGGTGAGTAGTGGGATGCAAACCCCATTGATGTCATAAGACAAACTCAGAAAAATGGTCAACCTAGTGATCTGTATAAGTGCTCCAGCCAAGGTATGCTTTATGAGTACTTCTAGTCTCCAGCCCTTCCTTGACACAACTTTACATAGATATAAAAAAACAGACATGATTGTGGTGTTCTGCATCATAGACGGTAACGATTTCAGTAAAATGGCTAAAAGTCTTAAGATCCAGCATCCATTAAACCAATCCAAAACTATCTATGAATTATAAAATAATTTATGAAAGAACTAGCAAAATTGAAGCAAAGAACAGTCTTTAAGAAAATTTCTGAATTCAAAGCCAATATCACTTACCTAAATAATTATTAAATAATTTTACAGTAAATTACACTTATCTAAATTACTAAATAAATGGTTCATAATCTTCGCAGAACACACTAAATAACATATAGTACTAACTACTAAAATCACAATCACATGATAAATCACAACAATCTCTTGAACGTTCCCAATGGCAAATATATATATAACTATACAAATGAAACAAATTTGACAAAGACAACACAAAAATAAACCATACCTCTTACAGGATCTAAAGTAGCAATAAAATTCTTCACCACCAGACCACCTTCTGTAGCAAGCACAGCAGCAGCTCGGTCGGTTATAGCGGCAACCAAAAAACGAACAGTAGCCAATATGAATTACTTAAGCAGTAGCCAACATGAATTACTTAGCCTCACTGTATATAAAAATAACAAACATACATCAATTATCAATATGCAATATGCAATAGAAAATTAGCAATAACAAGCATACATCATTTAAGTTAATTACTTTACACTTCACAGTGAAGTTCACACTTCACACTGCCAAGGGCCAATCTGCATAGTTCATAGTTCTCACACAAAACAAATTAAATAAAGTTCATAGTTCATAGTCTTCACTCTTCATACTACCAATCTGCAAAAGTCATTAACATGCTTCATGCCTTCATCAAGACCTGCTTAGTTGCATCCAAGAGAATATGATATATGAATATTATAATTAATACATAATAAACAAATATAAAAATACAGTACTAAACTACTAACTTACCCAATCAATTATCTTCTTCTTGCATCTTGTTTTTCTAATCAATCACAAGATCCTAACTTAAAGTCTAAAACAGAACAGTTTAAAACTTTGTCTAAAACAACTACTAACAGAGGACCACGTTCCCATCATACTCAAATATTTCGCTTCATATATTTGCCTAGACAGTAATAACATGCTGTATATAATTTTTTATTTTTTATGATTCGTTCTTTAAAATGATAAATAGGCAGAAACAACTAACAAGAAAGTGTAGATACATAATGATAATTGAAAAAGAATACAGTACGGTAAGAATACAATATAAAATTTAAATTAAACAAAAATTAGAAATTACCTTGGAAGAAGAAAATAACCAGGAATGGCGCTGAGGCTGCTGAGCGTGACTCAGGAGGCTGAGAATCTGAGATGAGATGGGTGAGGGCGTGACTCGGGAGGCTGAGGCGCTGAGGCGCTGAGGCTACTGAGCGACGACCGGCGACTCCGAATCGGCGTGAGGAAGTGAAGCGAGAGGGCTGTGTGAAGATTGGAGGGAGGGCTTCGGCCTTAGAGAGAGGGCTGGCACCTGGTGGAGTGGAGGGCTGCGACTCCTCTCTAGTCGGAGAGGGCTGCGGCGTTGCACGGCAGGCTGGTGCAGTTGCGATTGCGCGGTTGGAGTTTGGACTAGGGTTCGGCAGACTTGAGAGAATGAGAAATTAGGAATTTGGGTAAGGGTAAAGGGTTTACTGGTTTAGACTTTAGTGGTTTAAGTGTTTAAGAGGGTAGAGGGCTGTGAAGTGGGAAAGTGAGAATTGAGAGAGGCGGTAAAATAAAATTTGGTGGGAATTAGATTTCAGCGAAATAATTTCTAGACATCACCAATAGTGAGAGTAAAAACACCTTTCATATCAATAGTGAGAGTATACTTTTAAAATAAGTATAAAAATTAAATTTCGTCACTAAATCATAAACTTTTAGCTAGAGTAATTTTTAACCCTCACAAAAACTATGAAAATAATACATTTAGTGATGGTTTTTCTACCCGTCACTAAATTTTTGTCACTAAAAATAGTTTTTCTTGTAGTGTCACCTAAGCAGGTGTTCTCATATGATCTTAAATCTATATATATATATATATATATATATATATATATATATAGTGAAAGGTTCCAGTGCGGTTGAATGCTTCTCGTGCAGTTGTGCGGTTTATTAATGTGCGTGAGTTTTGTACTCAATGTGCGTGAGTCTTGCGCTTAATGTGCCTGAGATTTGTACTTAATGTGCGTGAATGTGTAATGTTAATGTGCGTGATTCTTGTACTTAAGATGTGTGAGTGTTGTGCCTAAGGTGCGTGAGTTTTTTTTTTTTTTAATGTGCGTGAGTGTGTACTTAATGCGAGTTGTTGTTGAAACTTTAAAGTGCATGAGCTTTGTGCTTAAGGTGCGTGAGTCTTGTGCTTAAGGTGCGTGAGTTTTGTACTTAATGTGCGTGAGTGTATACTTAATGTGAGTTGTTAAAAACTTAAGTCAGACTGAGATGCCTATTAATATCCCTATAGATGAAGAGCACACTCATGCACTTTAGGCACTAGACTCATGCACTATAAGTACAAAACTTACGCACATTAAGCACTACACACTCACACACATTAAGCACAAACCTCACGCACCTTAAGCACAATATTCACGCACACTAAGTGCAAACCTCACGCACATTAATCACCCGCACAACCGCACGGGAAGCTATACCCGCACATGAACCCTTTCATATATATATATATATATATATATATATATATATATATATATATATATATATATATATATATATATATATATATATATATATATATATATATATATATATATATATATACTAATAAGAGTCCAAGAGAGTTAGGCTTATAATGGGTAGAAAAAATGGCGGTCAAATTTTTTAATCAAATGAATGGCTCAGATTGATCAGATTTTAATTTTTCCTTAAGATTTCCTAATTTATCCTTAATGGATATGATTATCCGTTAACTTTTTCGTTAAATATTATCTTTTACGTTAATTTCTGTTAGTTCACCGTTAACTTACTCATTGATTTCAATAAGAAAGGTCTTAGGTTCGAACCTCATCTCAATCAAAGTTTGCATAATTAGTACTTTATTTTACTCTTATTAAATTAAATAATAATTTAGTAGCTACAACAAAAAATAATACATATGTATTTCTTACCCCAAATACATATGTATTTCTTTAATTTAGAATTATGTGTCTACAATGTCTTTATTCAAAAAAAAGTTATTCATTATCAATAAATTAAATAAGAGAAATAATTTCATTAGTTATATTGTATTTATTTTTCTCCAATATAAAAATTCTTTACATTCAAATTAATCAATTGATTATATTCGCTACATTGTCCCTACAGTGTCTTTATTAAAAAAAAATATTCATTATCAATAAATTAATTAAGAGAAATAATTTTATTAGTTATTTTGTCTTTATATTTCTCCAATGTAAAAATTCTTTACATTCAAATTCATCAATTTATTATATTCACTACATTGTCTATTATCTTTTTTTTTTTGTGCACTATTTTTTTAATTAAATGTCAAAGTTATAATACAAAATAATGCTATAAATTTATTTACCAAGTATTTTATCAATACCATGAAAATTTTAAAAAAAAAAATTAATAAAGCCAATCATATTAACTACTTGAGAGATTTGTTGACAAAAAGAGTATTCAAATCACACAACAAATTGAAGTGAGAATTAAATCGCAATGTCCTTGTTTTACAATCAGCAGTTAGCGGATTATATTAGCGAATTTGACCAGCCAATTATATCAACGATTGGTAAAAAGATATTTGAAAAAATTAGCTATTTAGATTAACATGTTAAATGACCTAAGGGTATAATAATAATAATAATAATAATAATAATAATAGTAATAATAATAATAATAATAATAATAATAATAATAATAATAATTATTGTTTAAAAATAATTTTAAGTCAATCATATTAACTACTTGGGGGATTTATTGACTAAAAGAGTATTCAAATCACACAACAAACAAATTGAAGTGAGAAACTTTCTTGCAATGTCCTTGTTTGTCAATCAACCGTTAGCTCTTTAATATTAGTATATATTTAATATTTTATGCCCTAATTTTTATTTGCTCTCCCTTATGTCTTGTATTTGGTTTCAACCATACCTATACAATTATTTTATTGACAATTATAATCAATCTTGACTATATTATCTTGCATTTGTAAACTTAGAATTGCCTATTTAAATACGTAAATTTAACATTCAATTATCTATGCATGAACAATTCCAATATAATCTTGCCTTGATATACTTTAAAGTACTTATTTTAAAAAATTTAAAAAAAAAACATTGGGCATTATCCTTATCGCGCAATGCGCGTAAAAAACTAGTATATATATAAGGACCAAATAAAAAAGCTTCATTAGGTACAAAATGCGGACAAGTTACAGTCATAGATGCAATCCAAATCAACAGTCCAAATTGAATTTTAATTAAAAACGCGTGGTGACATATTTGTAATTTTGAGTAAAATAAGTCAGCTTGTGTTTTGTTTCTGAGTGCATATTTGTCCTTCTTTGAGTGCACATTTTCCTTTCTTCAAGTGCATACTTTTTTCTTCTTCGAGTGCATCACTTTTATTTCAATACTTAGTTTCTATTTTGAGTGCACATCTTTGTGCCTTTGAGTGCAAATCTTTTGGCCTTCAAGTGCATGTTTTGTACCCTTCAAGTGCATGGTTTCCTTTCTAAGAGTGAATAATTAATTTTCCCTTTTTCTTTCGGTGCAGATTTTTTGCCTTTCAAGTGCACAAATTCTGGGTAGTACGTATTTGTTATATCGTGTGCATTCTTTTCAAACATATAACTAAATTTCTAATGAAATTTATGAGATCTACAAACGATTTGTATGGGTAATTGGTTTAATAACACTTAAGTTGAATAATCTCCCTTTTTGGTACCTGATTGTAGTATATTTTAAACCAAATAAATACCTAGAGTATCGGGTAATCGTTCCACATGGAAGTGGGGTATTGTTAATAAGTGTTATAATGTATAGTTTTTATATTTCTTTATTTATGTGGTTTAGTTTGTGTTGACCTGAGCTCTCTATTAGTTAGGAGAGTTTCACGTTAACTTAGCTTTTATCTAATTGTATTCGCGTTCAGTTACAACTAATCAAGAATTGAATTCTCATTTGGTATCAGATAGGGTAGATCCTTTTTCTCTCTCCACCTCAAACCACCACCGGCCGATCACTATGTCTTCCCATTCCTCGGAAAGGACCGTCACTGCCGGAGGCTCCCCGTCGCCGGCGACCGGCGTTTCCCTCGCCGAAGCTCATCATCACGTCTCCATGAAGCTCAACAGCCGGAATTTCCTGTTCTGGCGCACTCAGCTTGTCCCCTTCCTCCGTGGGCAAGACTTACTGGGCTACGTAGACGGCTCGACGCCGTGTCCTTCCCCAACGATCGCGGCTGCCGCCTCCGGCGACTCCGGCTCTGGTGCGACGACGTCTGCACTCGTCCCCAACCCCGCGTACAAGCCCTGGGTCTTGCAAGACCAGTCCATTCTATCCATGCTGATCTCCTCCATGTCCGACGAAGTTCTTCACTTGGCGGTCGGACGGGAGACAGCGGCGGTGGTATGGCAGTCGATCACCTCGGCGCTTGGGTCATCCACCGAAGCGCGTTGTCTCAGCCTCTTAGGCCAATTCCAGACGCTGAGGCAAGGGAACCAGTCGACGGCCGAGTATCTGGGACGTGCGGAGGTTCTAGTCGAAGCATTGGCGCAAGCTGGACGGCCTCTTTCATCCACCGAGCAAAATCTTTACGTTTTGCGTGGTTTACGCCAAGACCTGCGAGTGTTGGCAGCTTCTCTTACCGCCACCAACACAGCTGTGTCTCTATCGCAATTGTCCGATTTTTTGACTGCGCAGGAATTCATCATCTCCGATGATTACTCGATCGGAGGTGACGGCAGCAGTGGTCACCTTCCGGCGGCCTTATATGCCAGCAGTGGTGCCGGGCGTGGTCGTGGATCCAGCGGAGACGGCGGACGGACGTCGGGCCAACAGTGGCGTGGTGGAGGTGGCCGGAACAATCATGGCCGGAACAACCGTGGTCGAGGCGGTCGAAATAGTCGTGGTGTTCCACGATGCCAGATTTGCCGTGCTCAAGGCCACACGGCGGTGTACTGCTACAAGCGGTATACGACGCAACCGCCGGCCGAAGCTCATGTTGCAACCGCCGGCGACATTCCGGCGACTCCCTTGGTCACGTCAGCGGACGGATGGTACCCCGACACCGGCGCTACCGCACATGCCACGCCGGACGCGAGCATGATGTCCCGGTCGAATGAGTACAACGGCCCCGATGTGTTACGGGTCGGGAACGGCGCAGGTTTGGCTATCACCCGTGTCGGTCATGCATCGATCCCGTCCGTGTCGAAACGTTTAAGTCTATCTAATGTGCTACGTGTTCCGCGTCTGTCGATCCCTTTACTTTCCGTACAAAAATTTACAAAAGATAATGGTGTTTATTTTGAATTTCATAATGATTGTTTTATTGTGAAGGATTCCAACACCAGGGACATTCTGCTTAAGGGACCAACTTCCGGGGGATTATACAAGCTTCCGTTGTCAAACACTCAGTTTGCGTTCGTCAGTTCCCGGGCCACACAAGACGTTTGGCACCGCAGGCTAGGTCACCCGCATGGGGTCGTTCAGAAACACATCTTAAAAGACTGTCCAGTTTCATCAAATAAGTCAAAAGTCGCGGAGTCGTGTACGGCTTGTCATCTCGGCAAGTCGTCCCGTTTTAAGTTAGATAGGAATCATAAATCTAGCACGAATGTTTTAGATTTAATTTTTACTGATGTATGGGGCCCGGCTCCAGTAGTCTCCTCTAGTGGTAATCGCTACTTTTTATTGTTTGTAGATGATTACTCTCGGTACTGCTGGTTTTATCCGTTACGGGTAAAATCTGATGTTAATAAAACGTTTGAATTGTTTCGGGTGTTGGTAGAGCGACAATTCTCGCGCTCTATCAAATGTGTCCAATCGGATTTAGGGGGTGAATTCAGAAAATTGCAAACAATGTTCCAAACTCTGGGTATCCAGCATCGGCAGTCATGTGCGTACACACATGAACAAAACGGGCGAGTTGAGCGCCGTAATAGGCACATTGTCGAAACGGGTCTCGCTCTACTCGCTGAAGGCTCAGTACCACTTGATTATTGGGACTTTGCCTTCGAAACTGCCACATGCCTGATAAACTACCTCCCTACTCCTGTGTTAAATTTTGATAGTCCTCACTCTCGCCTACATAAAGTGTCTCCTCCATACACGTTTCTTCGAATTTTCGGGTGCCTGTGTTATCCCTACCTTAGGCCATATAATCGGCACAAGGTGGAATACTGCTCAGCACCCTGTGTCTTCCTTGGCTACCCCCCGTCTTTTAGGGGATATAGGTGCATGGACCGTACAACTGGGAAAGTTTACATCTGCCGCCACGTTCGGTTTGACGAGACAGTGTTCCCGTTTAAAACTCGGTCATCCGTCTCGTCTACACCGCCGGCTTCATTGCCATGGGCATCCGGGCCAATAGTCCCACGACTTGCCCCGATAGCTCCGACAACCAGCATCATTCCGGTGCAAGAGGATGAACCCGTGCCCTTAGCGTGTGAACCCGCACCTCAGGCGGTCATGGCACCACCTCGTGCCAGGGCAAAACGACGCCGTGTCGAGCCCCAAGATCGTGGCCATGTGATGCGTCTTCGGCATCAGACACGGGGCACGGATGAGCAATTTCAGGCTTTACACATAACAACTGATCCTACCTGCTATTCCCAGGCTGTAGGACATCCACAGTGGCGCGAAGCCATGAACCAGGAGTTCAATGCGCTACTTCATAACAGCACTTGGCGATTGGTTGCCCCAGAACCCCACATGAATATTATTGGCTGCAAATGGGTGTTCCGCACCAAACGCACAGCTGATGGTGCAGTTGAGCGTTATAAAGCTCGGCTGGTAGCCAAGGGGTTCAACCAGGTAGCAGGCGAGGACTTCTTCGACACCTACAGCCCGGTAGTCAAGCCGACCACTGTTCGGCTGCTCTTTGCTCTAGCTGTCTCATCTAACTGGACAATGCGCCAGTTAGACGTACATAATGCCTTCCTAAATGGGCGTTTAGCTAAGACTGTGTACATGAAGCAGCCACCTGGTTACGAAGATCCAGTGCACCCGGATCACGTATGCCACCTGCAGCGTTCACTATACGGCTTGAAGCAGGCCCCTCGGGCTTGGTTCAAGAGACTACATGACTTCTTACTCCTTGCAGGGTTTTCCGCATCAAAGACGGACGTCTCTTTGTTCCATTACAGGTCCGGCGCATCTCGGGTGTTCTTGCTAGTCTATGTTGATGACATCATCATGATGGGGAATGATGCTCAGTTAATCGACACCTTGCTACAACGACTAGCATCTACCTTCAAGATCTGAGACTTGGGCAAACCGGGCTTCTTTTTGGGAATCGAGACCATATCGACACCTACAGGGTTCATTCTCTCTCAAAGGCGATACATGACGGACCTCTTGAGCCGTGCTGGCATGCTTGACTGCAAGTCTCTTACCACACCGGCGTCAGTCACCACATCAGCCGTTCCTGCAGCAAATCCCTATGATAACCCAACACACTATCGGCGGATCGTCGGGGCACTGCAGTACTTGACGATCACACGACCGGATCTGTCCTACGCGGTGAACCGACTGTGTCAGTTCATGCACTCACCGACCGATGACAATTGGGCCATGGCTAAACGAGTGTTGCGCTATATAAAGGGGACTATCAGTTACGGCTTGCGTATCACTTCGTCCACATCGACAGCCATACATGCTTTCTCAGACTCCGACTGGGCAGGTTGCCCGATTGACAGGAAGAGCACCAGTGGCTATGCAGTGTTTCTTGGTTCTAATTTGATATCCTGGTTATCCAGAAAACAACGTACGGTAGCTCGGTCCTCTACAGAAGCTGAGTACAAGGCTCTAGCGGATGTTTCGGCAGAGGTTACTTGGGTTGTGTCACTGCTTCGTAAACTAGGACTCCACTCCTCCGAGCCAGCTACTCTTTGGTGCGACAACCTCGGCGCCACCTACCTATGTGCCAATCCCGTGTTCCATGCAAGGACGAAACACGTCGAGATTGATTACCACTTTGTTCGGGATAAGGTGGCCTCTGGAGACTTCGTCATCAACTTTGTGTCTACGAAGGACCAGCTTGCGGATATCCTGACTAAACCACTGACAGGACCTAGGTTCACTCTTCTTCGAGACAAGCTCAATGTTGTCTCGCACCACCCTTGAGCTTGAGGGGGTGTGTTAATAAGTGTTATAATGTATAGTTTTTATATTTCTTTATTTATGTGGTATAGTTTGTGTTGACCTGAGCTCTCTATTAGTTAGGAGAGTTTCACGTTAACTTAGCTTTTATCTAATTGTATTCGCGTTCAGTTACAACTAATCAAGAATTGAATTCTCATTGGTATTAAGCACCAATTACTAATTTATTCACGAGAAGCTAATCCTAATGATTATGATTGAATGTTGCAAATAAATAAATAAAATAAAGCAATGATTAAGTGTTTAATCCCCTAGTGTCAAACCTAAAGTAATATTAAATCTGGGTTTAAACAAGTGTGAGGATGCAAGGTGGTATAGAGCTACTCCCGTAGTCACTAACACTAATGAATATCCACTCCCGTGGTATAAATGTAACATCCCTAAATTTTAAGATATTTTAAGCCTATAAAATAAAGGTGAATCCAATATTTAAATCCCAAACAGAGCATAAACTATCCATAAGAGTCGGGGTGTTATGCCACACCTAGGTTTGAGAACCTAAGTGCACAGGCTAAACTAACCAAGCATGGTCAATCCATAAATTGATATTCAATTACAACCCAAGGCACGCAGGCCATCTAATATGCTAGAACTGATCAAACTAAGTCCAAGGTTCCGACTAGCGCGCTCTATTAGCTAATGCTCATCACCTGAAAAACATTCGGTGTAACAACCGTCAGCGAATAATGCTGGTAACCCACTCCAACGCGTTAAGTACAGTATAGGTAGATATAGGAAACTCATTTTGAAATAGGAATACATATATACTTACGAGACTCTAGTTTAAATCCAATATCAAGACTCAAGATACATTAACAGACTCAACAGTATAGAATAATCATAAGGACTAACATGCATCCTAAGGACGCAATACCAGACATGACAGACAGATAAGCATATAAATAGCAATTAGAGCCAACAAAGGCATTCAAGACAACCAGTTAGAAAATAATCAGTAAGGCACACAATCCATCTTCCAACCTTATATCAAGTTCCAACGTTGTAGCTCCCCTCCGTCCTTATATCAGTTCCAACCTATACCTCTAGGCCACCCTTATATCACCCCCCTTATTCCTCCGGGCAACTACATGCCCCCACCGACAAACCACCTATCAACTACCAACATATCAAGATGGTGCCGCAGTGCCATTCACATGATCCGCACCTCTAGTGCCAATATCAAGGGGTTAGCGCATATAGCTCTAACATGACACCGCAGCACTTATAACCTGACCCATGCTCAACGGCAAGCTAGTCGAAGGTGGGTTTGTTCCTTTAGCACAGTAACTGCTATGACATGTACCTTTAGTACAATGATCGGTCACAAGTGGTGCCAACCGCCAACAATTCATTTCCACCAATCGCAATCTCATCATCATCATTCACACCGGCCATTGCGCAATGACCACAATACCCATCATCATTCAATCAATTAACATATAATCAAATAACAATCAAGACACACCAACAACGACACGTATTACACATAAATTCCTAGAATGATACCCAAGACACCAAACGAGACTCATACACGACGAACTAGGTACAACGGGACACAACGGAACACGGGGAAAAACACCACGACGCACCACCAATTTCCAGCGGGTGGGCGGCGGGTGGAGGACCACCCGCCGGCGGCGGCTCCCCATTCCAGCGGGTGCCCGGCAGGCAGTCGCCTGCCCGCCGGCTGCCCGCTAGAAAGTGGACAACGGGCAGTGGATAGGTGGCGGGCACCCCTGCCCCCACATACCCCCCACTGACTCACAGGCAACTTTCGGTCCCGGGATCTCTCGTGGAACCCGAAACCATGTCCAGACACATTTAAACACATAACGACAACACCACGTATTCAATTAACGGGATTAAATCAATAATCATACCAAATACGTTCTAACACGACTCCTAAACATGCCAAGACTCCACATTAATCATATAACAATTCTGGAGCATCCGGAACCACAAGAATATCAAGAAATCTATATGCAAGGTCCTAAGCACAAGTCCTAGGCTAGACTCAACACCCGATCATGCACAATCCCACCCAAATATGCCAAGAACATCATAATACGAAATTCACGATATAAACCCTAGGGCTCTAGACATAATCCAAATACAAGATCATTCATATAATCAAGCATAGTATCAAGAACATCAAGATTATCACATAAACACAACATAAAACCTAAGCAAGGCTCTATCAAGACTCAATCACAGAATTACACAAATGATTATCAAAGGAGCCAATGAATAAGATATATCGAGGAAAATAGGTTTTGTTGAGACATGGGTTACCTCTTAGCCCTAATTAATATCCTTGGCTACTAAGGTTCTTCTCTAAGATTTCCCTCCAGTGGATTCCTCTACGTTTGGTGGCGGGGGAATTCCTTTGTAGGTTTCCCCTCGGGAATTTCTTGCGTGGTAGAATTAACTGTTGTAGGGTTTCTAAATGCTTCCTAAGTCCCTATATATAGATTTAGGAGTCCTAACTAGAATCTGAATGGTAAAGGTCCACTTTTCATATCCCTATAGAATTAAGGACTTGGTTAAGGATAAGGGTCCATGGTCCATCATGGACCATACTAATTAATTAATGGGGATTCTAATCTAATTAAAACCTTCTTAATTATATGGTAACGGAATTAATTAAATAATTAATCCGGATGCGGAGGCCGTAACACGGGGTGTTACAATAAACACCCAATAAGAACAAGAACAAGCATTCATAAATTATCCCTAACCACTATCATCTCCCGATGTGCAATAGTTAAGAATTAAACTCCCTAACAAGTATGCACTTTCCCAAGATGCAAAAGTTAAGTGCAATTGTGTCAACTCTCAATTATGCCTAACTCCCGTTATGACATAAACAAAGTAATGAAACAAGTAATCCGGGCCCTGAACTACTCGCAACGACAGTAATAAACACAATTGCAGCACAAATTTAAAACCCAAATAATAATATATAAAAGAATCTGAGAGCACAAGCACATAGGTTCATAAACACTTTTTACCCAAGAATCCCTAATGAAATTTAGCCAAGCATGGCTAAATTATACATAGCAAATATAATAAAAGAATTACGAATCATCAAAGAAAGTAAAAGATTGAACTAGGCAATTTCTCCAAATCACCCTAGTTTTCTTCTTGATTCCCATTACAACTTGTGGCTCTTGATTTCACTCCTTGTTGTCTCCAAAGATCTTCGAATGAATATTAGGGTTGAGGAAGGGTGAATTTTATAGTAGGAATCAATTCCCGAGAAAATAGGAATTTTCTGAGCAAAACTGGGCCGAAATCGCGCCTGGGCTGCCATTTTCGACGCGTCGAGTCTTAATCTTCAAATTTCGAATGCACACTGGAAATTTTCGACGCGTCGAGAATTTCCAGTGTCGTAGGTCCGTCTTGCAGGCTGATTTTGACCCTTTTTCCTTCAGATCTGGACTTCGATGTCTTCATAAGAGTTGTAGCGCTTCGAGTATTCTTTCCAATGACTCAAGAATCACTTCATTTGAATATTCATAGACTGAGATATGGTCCAAAAACCAAACTGTCATCAATCTGTGCGTGAATTTTCACTACAAGAAAAATCGCAATTCGCGACAGAAAATTTCCGTTGCAAATCGCGTTTTGCAACGAAATTTTACATTTTCATGATGGAATCCATTCCGTAGTGTCAAGGCTTGTCGTATTTCATTTCGTGACAGAAATAATGCGTCGCGAGTGGTTGCGACGGAAAATGGTGACGGAATTTTCCGTCGCAAAGTTGGCGACGAAAATCATTCCGTCGTGAGTCGGTTGTAGTTTTGGTGACGGAAATGTTTCGTTCTATCGCCATCGCGTGAAAAAAATGTTCTGTTGCGAAACTCATATTCCGTCGCCTATTGCTGTCGTGAAATATAACAACAGAAATAATTGTTGTCATTATTCCATCGCTAACCTTTCCGTTGCAAATTTCGTATTCTGTCGCAAGAAAACTATGGAACACATTGTCGTTGCAATTCCGTCGCTAACTCTTCCGTTGCAAATTTAATCTTCCGTCGCTAGATACTGTTTGTCTTCGTCACTAATTAAATTTCATCATTAAAAATAATGGAACTAATTTCTATAGTGATTTCATCGCCATAATGATAACAAATACTCCACCGTTCAAATCACATTTAGTTGCGATTCTGCCAAATTTTTATTTTTTAATATTTTGATAATGATTTTTTTTTTGGGTCAAAATTCTAATATTAGTATTTAAAATGCTAATATGCAATTATATTTATAAACAAAAACACTATAAAATTAAAATACAATATCATTTGTAATATAAAAGTAATACTATTTATAGTTCAAAAATTTGAATGTTTTACATAATATCAAATTCATGTCTAAACAACAGTATAATAATGCATTAAAAAAATCAGTATCAAGTTTAATCCAATTCTGATGAGGGTAATGATGAAGTACCAGCTCTCTCACTCTCATAAGCTTATGATCTTTGCTGCATAAGAAACATAAAAACCTTCAAATTCTCAATCTCATCTTGCACAATTCACAAGACAAACATCAACCACAGTTTATTTATATTAACATGACTTCATACAATCACAAGTATCTAATCAGTCACAATTCATAACTCACAAGTATCACACGGCATGGTTATACTTTGTAAACTGTTATTTGGGTGTTGGCCATTGGCAGTATTGTAGCTTGAAGACAAATAAGAAAAGGAAATATGGGTGGTATCTACAATTTAAAATATAGGGTATGTAAGTTTTGCTGTCAGCATTACTAGGAAACAGATTATGCACATGCATGGACAATAGAGCAATCTTATTAGTTCATTTTCCTTTCAAGTTCACTATCATATAGTCAAACTAACTAGACCTCAAGTCTGATGACATTAATTAATGAACAAAATATGAAACATGCGTTTCAATGAAGATGATCTTGAAGTATGTGTGAATGCATAGTGATATTGGGTTCAATAATGAACTAAAAAGCTGGAACTAGAAGGTTGGCTTGGAAAAAGTTATTAACTGATGAAATTAAAGCACTTTACCATAAAGCATACTAGATATTTGAGGGTAATGAATGACAAGTATAATATTTACCACTTCCAGGATAAATATGCTACATAAGAAACTAATTGAACATTAACATGAGACTATGATATGTACCTGAACACCTTGTTGAATCTAGGAATCTCCAAGATTCTGTATAAAATTGGCAAGAAGGACATAGTCAAATTAAACATAATAGTAGGAGATAAATTGGTTATGCAAGAGAAATTTAACATTTTTTTTTTCTCCTGCTATTCCACTCACTAGTGAACAAGATAATGCAGTAAATTAAATATATCAACTCAAAATATTAATTAGGTATTATCATTAGTCATTACAAATAGAATAAACAATGAAGAAAAAAGATCACTGTTACAGTTAACATAATGCTAAAGGCAGAATAAAATAATTATATCAAGATAAATACAATTAATATTTTCAAGTCCAAATATAACATAGATGAAACTAGATGCAGAAACTAAAGTTGCCACCAATCTATTACTCCTTAAATCAAACAACCAAAATGAATATCACCTTAGTTTTTCATATTCCAGGCACTAATAAGAATTGCATTGTAAAGAAATGTAAAAAAAAAAAAAATTATATATAACTAAAAGAAATTCATTCAAGAGGCAAACAGATAAGGAAACCCTTTTGGGGGAGTTGAGAACTTAATTAGGAACTAACACAAGTACCTAGCTATCTATGCATCCCAATATTACTCATGCATCAATTAGGAATTTAGGGCTTAATTGAAATCAGGATGTAGAGATAAATAGAATTAGGAATTTTATTAGGGATTAGGAACTAACCTTTAGATACTGTTGGTGACGTACGTAGCTGTGGGAGACGATGGCGACGCTGCTGACGAGGACGACGGTGATGAGCGACGAGCAATGTTGCGGTGGACGATGACGGAGATGAGCGACGCTGCTGTGGACAACACAGCGACAAGCGACGAGCAGTGGTAGGTGGATTGGAGGTGGAAGAATGGCAGCAGTATTTGTGTTAGGCCATCTCCAATGTAGCGCCAAATCGCCAAATTGTCAAAAAAAATTGCCTTTTTTTCAATTCCAATATAGCGCCAAATCGGCAAATTTTGCTGTTCGTGAACAGTTTAATCCACACCATTTATTTGAGTAAATTTTTTATTCCTGTTTTGCCCATACTTTTATTTGTAAATTCTTTTTTTTTTTTTACTCTTTATTTTATTTTTTTGTATTTATACATTTTGTCTTAAACATAAATGTTCCTCCTTCCGTCCAATTTTGTGTATTGGGTTTAGTTAACAAGGCTTGATTAAACTTATTTACAATTTAATTTTTTATAATATTAAGTTTAAAAGTAGTATCTAAAATTTATATATTGAGAAAATTATTATTTAATTATTTCTCACATTTGTTTATGACTAAAAGTTTTCTTAAATTTAAATATTCACAAAAATTTCAATTATTTTCTTTAAAAGTATGCATAATTCGGTAAAAATTTGTTAAATTATCAAATCGAAGAATCGAGTTAATAAATTTTCAAACAAAATATTTCAGTTCAATCAATAGTTAAATTAAGTTAATTAATAAATTTTAATTATCGATAGGGTTTAATTAACGACTACTTAAATAGTCACATGAACTTTAATTACTATCTTTAGGTGTGTATGCACAATTCAGTGAAATTTTGTTAAACGGTCAAATCGAAAAATACACACACACACTAGTTATAAACTTATAATGCATGCATTGTGCGATTAAATTAATGTTCAACAAGAAAATTAAAATAGGTAAATAGATGAGAGGCCAAAAAAAGATAATGTAATAAAGTACAATAATTGAAGATGTAAAAGTAGAATGAAGTGTTTAATTGATTTTAGAAAACGAAAAAAAGAAAATTAAAAATAGAATCCATAGAAACTAGTGAAGTTAGATTGAAATTGATATTTCATTTTAAGTATACTTTGTGATAATTTAAGCACCAATACAATTTTATTTTGCAGATTTTATTTGTCACGAAATCTAGATGGCTGCACAGTTGGCCCAAATGTTTCTACTTCAAACTTCAAACTTAATACTAAATTGATACTAAGTAATGCACTACTAAGTCTTCTATCTGTATTTATTGACTTCACTTCATTAACTAAGCCTCCGTTTACCAAAGCATTTAGAGTAATTCATAACTTATATTTATTTTTTTAATTATTTGAATGAATTACTAATATTAAAATGTTTGACATTTGCAAAAGTTTTGGTTGTGACAATAAGTGTGTAATAAGAATATAAGTGTGCTTAATTGTTTGGTCAATGATTAAATATTTTTGTGAAGGAACGAACGATCGTCACCACCCTGTGCCGTCAAATCTCTCTGAGCCAAACATCATAATAGAATTAATTAATTTTCGTTGCCGATTGCATCGCCATAGTGTGACGGATATGTAGGTCGTCACATTTTTTGTTGCCAGTATGGCGAAAATAAACTTTGCTTAAAAAGTTAAATATTTGCGGGACGGAACAAACGGCCATCGCAATTTTCGTCGCCAACCTTAGACATCACTTCCCCCCTTTGCACCAACCGTCGCCACGGAATGAATTTCCGTTGCCGATTCCATCGCCATAGCCCAACGGATGTGTTGGACGTCGCATTTTCTGTCGCCACTATGTCAACATATTTGCGACGGAATTGATTTCGTCGTCTATTCTGTAGTGAAAATAAACTTTACTTTACAAATTAAATATTTTCGTGACGGAAAAAATGACCATCGCAATTTTCGTCGCCATCCATTATCGTCAATTCATTGGCGCCAAGATTACGTGGGAGTATTTCCCACTTTGCGCCAAAAATCACAACGGAATTCACTCTCGTCGCCAATTTTGTCGCAAAACCGTGACGAAAATATTAGTCGTTGCATTTTCTGTCACCAATGTGGCAACGGAACTTCATTCCGTCGCAAAATCTGTCACCAAAATTTGGGCGCCAAGATTTCGTAGGTTTTTTTCTCACTTTGCGCCAAAAATAACTAAGGAATGTAATTCCGTCACGATTTCCGTTGCATTATCGCAACGGTACGCGTTCCATTGCAAAAATTGTTGCGAAACGATAACAGATTATGTTCTATCGCGATATTTCCATCGCAATTCGTGATTTTTCTTATAGTGTTTCACTTATTGCTCTTTTGCTCCACTTTTGCCTCCGTTTGCCCAAGTGATCAAGACCATTGAAAACACCACTCTTTGGCTCCCTTTTGAATTATTTAAGCCACCTCCTTAGCTTCACATTGACTTTGTTTTGGCTCCGAACTCGTCCTACAACTTCCCTTGCTTTTGCAATTGATCTACAATGGTTCCAAAACATTAACAAACACTGTAAAACATTCAAAACAAGTGTACAACCATATATATATATATATATATATATATATATATATATATATATATATATATATATATATATATATATATATATATATATATATATATATGATAAAACAAGGGAATATGCAATTAAAGTGACATTTTCATACACTTAAACTAACAAATATGCTCAAACTAACACTAGAAACATGTACAATTTAGCTCACATCAGTACCATAAATTGCATCAATTGCACATCTATATTAACCTCAAATGCAATTTTTTTTACCTTCAACTGCATGGTTTTGAGCCTCCAAGTGCACCATCCGTATTTTTGCACGGGAAGTCTTGTGCTCACATGATCCTAAACCTCTCTCTCTCTCTCTCTCTCTATATATATATATATATATATATATATATATATATATATATATATATATATATATATATATATATATATATAGGAAAAAAGTTCAAATTCGGCGATATCCTTAGGTGCGGCGGTGCAGCGGAATTTCAGAATACACCAACAGTGTTAACAACATGCACCAACAGTAACGGAAATACACCACAATGAAATGCAAAAAACATCAAAAAATACACAACAAACCCAAAAAAAAATACACCATATAACTCACCATACCCCAATGGTGTATTTTCGGACACTGTATGGTGTTTTTACTCACACCTAATGATATGTTTTTGGTGATACATACTTAATTTGTGTGTGTTTTTGTGGTGCATTTTCCTAACGTTGATGGTGTATATTTGTTGACCACTTGACCTATTGGTAACGCCGCACTTAAACTTTACTATATATATATATATATATATATATATATATCTAAAAACATAATAAGCCTCAATTAAGGTTATATCCTTGATTTATGTCCATCTTTTTGCATGCAAATAAATGTGTACATTTTACTTTAAATGTTGTACATTCCAATGTTATTAGACAAAACTACCCTTACACCGTTATAACACCGTTAGTTTTTAATTCTAACATTGATAACACATTATTATTATTACCATACACCTATATCTATCATATCTTTTTTCTATTTTTTTAATTATCATTTTATTAAAATCATTATATATTAATTTAATACTTAATTATATTTTAATTAAATTTCTATGAATGATAAATTATTATATGTGTGTGTACAAAATACATATATTATTTGTGTATATATAATTCAAATTACAATTTTTAATTATTTGTATTTATCAATGTTTTAATATTGGGCATGAATTTTCGCGCATCGCGCGTACAAAATGCTAGTATATATATATATATATATATATATATATATATATATATATATATATATATATATATGTATGTATGTATGTATGTATGTATGTATGTATGTATGTATGTATGTATGTATGTATGTATGTATGTATGTATGTATATTAAAGAGCATTTGATCTTGAATGAATCATTAATTACTAATTTTAATTGAATATTGTGATCTTTTATGATTTGTGTTGAAGATCATGTATTAAATCTAGTCTTTTTTATAGTTGTTGCATATTTGTGCACTTGTATGTATATTAAAGAGCATTTGATCTTGAATGAATCATTAATTACTAATTTTAGTTGAATATTGTGATCTTTTATGATTTGTGTTGAAGATCATGTATTAAATCTAGTCTTTTTAATAGTTGTTGCATATTTTTGTACTTTACTGTGCACATTTTTGCCTTCTAGTGCACATTGTTATGCTTTTAGAGCACATTGTTGTGCCTTTCAGTGCACATTATTGTGGATCGCATGTGGCGATTTTTTATTTTTTTTTAAAGATGAGTTGATCAATGGCTGAGATTCAACTGCACATTTCACATGTGGCTTTCTATGCACCTGAACCTAAGCTTTTATATATATATATATATATATATATATATATATATATATATATATATATATATATATATATTGATTATTTTCTCTTTCAGTTCACACGTTCACCTATATGTAAACATGCATTATTTATCACATCATGCATATATGTAAAAAATAAAGATTAATCATATTCATTGATCTAGTTCATCAATGTTACGTTGAGGGTTTTAGTAAAAAAAAAAAAATTAATTTTATAATTATTATACTTTATAATTTTACAATATTTATAAAATTCGCCCCTATCTATTTTGTCTTTATATATTTTTCACCTCTTCAACCATCAATCTACACAAATGAATAGATAAAATTAATCCTCTATTTTTACATATATAGGTGCATGGTTGCTCTCAAACCCTCCTATATCTGAATTAATTAAAGTATCAAAGTATGTAGTAAAAAAAAATTGGAAATACATTTAATATTATTCATTTATTTGTTGTGGAACCAACAATTGTACATAAATCAGTTTTTTTTTTTTTTTTTTTTTTTGATAAAGTACATAAATCACTAGATATTCTGTGGTTGGTTTTTATTTTTATTTTTAAAATTTTATTTTATTTTAGGCAAAATTTGAAATATCCGAATATGGTTTCATTCAATTATGTAAGGGCATTTAATTTGTTGTGGGATAAACAACCATACACTTCCGGACAGGGCAAGGGGCGGTGTTACTTGTCCCCGTGTTGGCGGGCAGTCGGGCATGCCCATCTTT